TTTTGCAGATTGACCACAGTGTGTCTAGGTGGGTATTTCTCTCTCTCTCTTTTTTTTCCTGCTTTGGGGATTGGTTGGGATTCTGGTATCTGAGGATGGGTATCTTTCATCAGTTATGGAAAAATTTCAATCATTTCTTCAAATCTTGACTCTTGTTCATCCCATTTTCTCCTTCTAGAACCTCAGTTAAGATCATTCCTGGACCTTGTTAACCTACTTACCCTCTTTCTTAACCTGCTTATCATATTTTACACCTGTGTCCTTCTATGCTGCATTCTGGGTAATTTCTTCAGATGTATTTTCCAGTTCATCAGCTATTTAAGACATTCATTTCTAGAAGTTCTACTTTCTTTTTCCCTAGAATCTTATTGGTCAAACAATAATTTTGGCTCTTTACATTTCCTATTTAAATTTCTTTAGCCATATTTACTATCTTTATCTTCTACACTGGATAATTTCAACATCTACAGTCTTTGTGGGTCTGGTTTAGTTTGTGCTGACTCTGTTGTGGCTGTTTATTTCATGTTATGTTCAGAGATTTTTTTTTTTTTTTTTTTTTTTTTTTAAAGTTTTTTTTTTTTTTTTTTTTTTTTTAGCAATAGTAAAGTTTATTGAGTGATAGTACAAATCTCCCAAAGAGGGAGGGGATCTGCGAAGTTCAGCAATTTTTGAAGTCAGGTCTGAATGACCCCAAAGCTGGTGACTTTCCCTCATGCTCAAACTTCATGGCCTGTGTGGCTCAGTACTGGGGAGATCTGACAGGGTGGCATCCTTTTGTGGGTGCTTCATCTATCTTTTCAGATGGGCTCATTTCATAAAACCTTAAGGAAAATACTTAGTATTTTAGAATAATGTACATCTTATTCTTTCTGTTGGCACGTGCATCGATTTTCCCCTTTGGAAAGAACTAGGATCTTAGCAGACTTCAGCTGCTTCCAATGTTAGCTTATAAATCTGTCACAAGTTGAAAACTCCCAGTAGAATTTCATTGACTTATGTGGAGGGGAGGGGTTAGAGTAGAAGGTCACCTTGGCCCCTCACCCCACACATCCAAATAGCAGTTAGTTCTGCCATGTCCACCACATATCTGGCTCACACCTGCCATATCTTTCTTGTCATCGCCACTGCCATCACTGATCCAAGCCATTATCATTGCCTGCCTTAACCTGCATTGTCTCTGGTTTGGTTTCCTACTGCGTTGTGTTCTGGAAGAAGCAGTAAACACACACTCCAGCTATCACGCCCTGTTGGGGACCTTTCAGCAGCTTCCTCTTGCGTTTTCCTTGAAACCTGAAGTCAGGAACAAGGCCAGCGTCCTGTAACTTTGGCTTCTGCCCGCCTGCTTCCTGTGATTCCTGCCCTTCTTCCCTTGGCCAGCCATGCTGCAGGCACACTGGCCTTTAGCTCTTGGAAAGGAGCTCTGCTCCTTTCTTCCTCCTGCATGTCTGGGGGGCCCTTGCCCGTGCTCTGCACAGGGCTGACATTTTATTCTTCAGTCCTTTGCTGAAAGGTTGCCTCCAGATCGAACTTCCCTAGTCATCCTGTCTCCTGTCTCCCCTTCCCTTCTCCTGCCATACCATGTGAGTGTTTAACTGTTTTTGTGTCTCCCTGACCAGGCTGTAAGTTCTATCAGTGCAGAGACTGTTTCTGCTTTTTTGCCAGAGTATTGCCTGGCACCCCTAAATGATGGCCATGATGTTTTATGTTCCACATTTTAATAGCAGAAAATTTTGCAAACCTTGGCTGTGGGATTGGTATTGAATGTGACCTGGGTCTGATTAGAACTCTTCCTAGGACCTGGGGTATCAGGAAGACCTTGGTCTAAGTGGATGTCACCCTTGGTAGGGACCCTGGGAGCAGTTGTCATAGAGGCTTCATTCAGGCGTTACTATATTATTATTATTATTAAAAACTTGTAGAAGCTCTTTTTTTCCCTGCAAGCTTTAAAATGGCTTACCAAAAGGCAATGTACACTTAGTCTGTCCACTTTTGACTTCAGCCACCTCCCAGCCACTGCTCTCTTTGTTTGGAGGGTGGCTCAGCTGGACAGTGGGCAGAGATGGGCATCATTGCCCTGTGATGCAGGTCGTGTGAATGCATCCTCTGCAGGTAGCCCACTTAGGCCACACCAGCCTTGTCATTTAACCCCTTGCGAATTCATGTCCTTTTACTTCTCACACGGTTTTCAAAGTACATGTTAAAAAGTATGATGATAATTTTCAAAAGACTCGAATAGACCTTTCTCCAGAGAAGACATACAGATGGCCAGCAAGCCCATGAAAAGATGCTTAACATCACTAATCATTAGGGAAACGCAAATTAAAACCATAATGAATACCACTTTGCACACATTAGAATGGCTGTTATAAAAAAAAAACAAACCCCACCCCCCCACAAAAACCAGAGAGTAACAAGTGTTGGTGAGAATGTGGGGAAATTGGAACTCTGATGCACTTCTGGTGGGAATGTAAAATGGTGCAGCCACTGTGAAAAACAGTATGGTGGTTCCTTAAAAAATTAAACATAGAATACCATACGATCCCACAATTCTAGTTCTGGGTATTTACCCTAAAAGAAGGGAAAGCAGGGACTGAAGGAAATATTTTAAATCCATGTTCATTGCAGCATTCTTTGCAATAGCCAAAAGATGAAAGCAGCATAAGTGTCCAACAACAGATGAGTGGATAAACGAAATGGCATTTTTACACACACACACACACACACGCATACCCACACACATATACACATATTATATAATGTAATATTATTCAGCCTTAAAAAGGGTATTTTAAACAGTGCTGTGCTGAGTACTAGCTGCCATTTGGTGCTGGTAAATAATGCGTGGCTCTTGACATGGTATAAATTAGTAAGCAGGGGCGTTGGTAAAGGCTGTGCTGGAAATCTTAAGATCTGCATTTGAGTCCAGCCCTACTACTAATTTTCTGATTTTTGAACTTCTGTTTCCACATCTGAAAAATGGAGTTAGTGCTTTGTGTGCTTTATTGACTTCAAAGGGTTGACGTAAGTTTCAAACAAGCAAGGACTTGGGTGAAAGCCCTTTGTAAACTGGAAAACACTCTGCGAATGTAAGGTGTAAAAGAGTATATTTTAATGCGAGAACTCATTGTTAATATTCTAATACTTTTTCTCCCAGCTAGTACTTTTTTTTTTAATTTATTTTTTATTGTTTTAAGTAATCTCTATGCCCAATGTGGGGCTCGAACTCATGATCCCAAAATCAAGAGTCATGTGCTCTTGCAACTGAGCCAGCCAGCTGCTGGATAAAGTTTAGAAACTTTATCCACAGAGGCAGAATATAGCTTTTTTTTCTTTTCAAATTTCTTTAATTTAAAACTGAACTAGTACTGATTTTGACGCAAATAGTCATATTTGGTGTGTACCTCTTCATTTACTTTTTAGCTTTACACAAGAGTCCAGTGCCGTTATAAAAATGTAGCTACCTCGACACATTTCCAGTTACTGGGGAGTGACTGCCTTCTCCCTAAGTAAATAATTTTTGGGGGGTTCAAGGTAAACCCATTCTTTTCCATCCATTCTCCTTGCATGGTAGTCTGGGTGATGAGTCTAAGTTCTATGCCGTGTGTACAACTTAATCTAGAACTGAGTTGCGGAGACTAAGGACTGGTCTGTTTTCAGCTCCCTTTGTTGCTTTGCCCAGGGCTGGGTATGCCAAATAGAAGCCGATTTTTTTTGCTCTTCTTCAGAGATATTATTGTTTGCAGTGTAATAGATGAACATAGAGGGATACGATTTTTGGGTAAGTTCGGAGAAATGTTATTCTGTGAGTAATGGCTAAAAGCATTACGTTGATGAAGAGTTATTTTTCTTCCTCTTGTTGCGTGCTGTGTGGTTTAGGGCTCTGGTTCCACTCTGGGCGGTTGCTCCCCACAGCATTTTCCCATCAACTCTAGAGCCACCATTAATGGTGGTGTCATTGACACTGGGGCTTGGTATATTGGCACCTGAGCATGTGCCAAAGCCGCCTTCCTTCTCAGTAAAGGTTAGACAAATATGGCACCGTGATGATGGCCACATGGCATAGAGCAGCTGGGGTTCAGGGATGAGGGAGGCCTGAGCTTCCTGCAGTTGTCACAGTGAGGACCCCTCCTCTGTTACCATTCATAAGGAAGCATATATGTGAGATGCTGTTTCATCCTGTCTGCCCCAAACAGGGCACGCTTGTCCCGCAATGTGACACCTCTTTGTATGCAAAAGGAACAGTATGTTTCATTCCCCCCTCATATCCTTTTGAATGATGCAGGGGGAAAAATAGTTTTATCTTTGTATCATTTGCCTAAAAGGAAGGTGCACTAACGCTCAGATTACGAGACCTTCATATTAGAAGCAATTAAGGTTACATAAACCTTTGTGTGGGTGGCACATAAAGTCATTTGCATATTTTACCATCTTAGATTTGGGACAAGTGATTTATTCTCAGACAAGGCAATGACAAGCTGCAAGTGGGCCAATACTAAATATGTGATAACAGAGAGGGCGCCTGGGTGGCTCAGTTGGTTAAGCGACTGCCTTCGGCTCAGGTCATGATCCTGGAGTCCCGGGATCGAGTCCCACATCGGGCTCCCTGCTCGGCAGGGAGTCTGCTTCTCCCTCTGACCCTTTTCCCTCTCGTGCTCTCTGGCTCTCATTCTCTCTCTCTCAAATAAATAAATAAATAAAATCTTAAAAAAAAAATATGTGATAACAGAGAGACAGGCTCCCTGTCAATTACTGGGGAACGAAACCCTCCTGCCACCACCTGCAGACCTTTCCCCAGCGTGCCTCTGTTCCCTGACAATTGTGCTCATCTGCTCGAAAAATTCTAACATATTCTATATTCTGTCTTCCAACTTTTTTTTTTCAATTCTTTGCTAAGAATACTTTGGCAATCAGATGCTCTTCAAAACCAACAAAAATATCCAGTGTGTGTTTGCTTCACCTTCTGTTTTCTACTCCTTTCTGTAGACAGTCGCACCGCCGACATGGTGGCCCCCTTGCCAGGTGGGCCATTGGGCTCCAGGCGTTTGCACCTTTGCTGCCTGAGAGTGATGCTTCCTCCTGCCCTGACGTTCCTCCAAAACACTCTTCTCTGAGGTGTGCTTGTCACCTGTCAGTTAGTGTTCTGGGATCAGGGGTCCTTGGTTAAGTGAGTTTGGGAAATAAATGCTAGATTTTTTCAAAAAAGATTTTATTTATTTATTTGAGAGAGCGAGAATGAGAGAGAGAGAGAGAGAGAGAGCACATGAGAGGGGGAAGGGTCAGAGGGAGAAGCAGACTCCCTGCTGAGCAGGGAGCCTGATGTGGGACTTGATCCCGGGACTCCAGGATCATGACCTGAGCCGAAGGCAGTCGCTTAACCAACTGAGCCACCCAGGCACCCAATAAATGCTAGATTAAGCGAACCCCACTGCTTTAGGATTTCTAAATGTTCCACTTGTTGATAGGCATGGGGAACTCCCAGGAATGAGTTCTAGGTGCCCCGGCAGACCTCCTTTTTTTTTTTTTTTTAAGATTTTATTTATTTTACTTATTTTAGGGAGCGTGAGCATGCGGGGTGGGCTGAGGCAGAGAGAGAATCTCAAGCAGACTCCCTGCTTGACTGTGGAGCCCGACAAGGGGCTCAATCCCACAACCCTGAGATCATGACCTGAGTCAACATCAAAGAGTCGGACGCTTAACGACTGAGCCACCCAGGCGCCCCTAAGTGCCACTGTGGACCTCCTTTTTGAAACATGCTGGCCTTGGAAGCCCTGTTCACAGCCTATCTTATGGATGTGCTTGGGAAAAGGCTGGAATGGCATGAGGAGAGTCATCCTGCTGGCTGTACAGACTTGGATTCTTTGATAGGAAGTAAATGCCCGGCAGTGCTTTGCACAACTGTGGGTATTTCTCACAACCGGTTTCCCCCCGCTCTCTGGAAGTAGAGCGTTCCCATGAAACCTCTCATAAGCTGGAGCCATGTAAAGAGAAGAATCAGTTACCATTAATGTACACGGAAAAGGTTTTGAGCATGCCTAGACCCACAACTAACCTGTCTTAGACTTGTCTGATAGCTTAGGATGCATCTTGCTAAGGGATACATAAAATAAATCGAGATAAAGGGCAGATGCTCACGGGCACTGTTCAGAGTTCTGGGAGCTTAGCTTGATGTGTGATTAGTTCCTGGGGAAGGAGCCTGTCAGGACCACGTTCAGGGCTCAGCTGTGCAGTGTGTCTATAAGGGCTCGCTGCAGAACTGACGCTCAACACTATTTTTGCTTTTCACCTTTTATCATCAAAGCAAAAGTCCTCTTTGGATTTCTTCAGTTAGTGAAAACAGGGAGCTCTTTCATAAAAGCAAAGTGGTGTCATTTGAACTTTTGGAAAGTGGGGGATACCAGTATATGCAACAACCCTCCTTTTTTTTTCTTTTTTTTTTTTTTAGTTAAACATAGTCATCCTTTAAGTTAAAAGTAGTTCTTAGTTTGAAGGCATCCTGTGGTGTGGTGAAAGCTTTGGAGGCTCAAGATGAAGTTTGCATTTGTGAATATGGAATTTTTTTTAAGACTTTATTTATTTATTTGAGAGAGAGGGAGAGAGAGCACAACCAGGGGGCGAGAGGGGCAGAGGGAGAGGGAGAAGCAGACTCCTCACCGAGCAGGGAGCCCGACTCAGGGCTCGATCTCAGGACCCTGAGATCATCACCTGAGCCGAAGGCAGATGCCCAACCACCTGAGCCACCCAGGCGCCCCGTGAATATGGAGTTTTAAAGCATACAGCTCAAAGGCACACAGCTCTGGGATTGCACTGTGTGGTAAAACACATGTTTCTCTAGAAATGGGGAACCTGATGGATTCCTGGTCCGGAATTCTGAGCACCTGAGGTAGCATTGACGAATCTTCTCCCTTTAGGGGCTGCCCTTACAGCCTTGGGTGTGTAGAACATGTGGGTTCAGAACTCCACAGACCCTTCTTGCAAAATGCCTTGGTGTCTCCTGGTGCTCTCCTCTCTCTGGTTACAAACTAGTCTCCAAGTTTCCTGCTAAGTCCCAAATTAGTCACTTAATCCCCTTTGGCAGTTTCTTCTATAATATGGATTCTTTCTTATAAGTTCCTTTCAGAAGAAAATTGATTTGTGAGGGAAAAGCAGACCACTGGTGTGAAAAATAAAGAAAAGCAAAAAAAAAAAATTTCTATATTAGGAATATCCACCCTTAACCATTCTTGAAAAATAAAAGTAGAATACTACCTTATAATTTTGTGTCCTTGAGATTTTTTTCACATGTTATGAGCAAGAGTTGTTCTTAACTGTAATTCAAGAATGACAACCCACATGACTACAGAAAAATCAAGTGATTACAGTCAGCTTTTCCAGTGACATATTGCTTTGTAGTTAACTGATGGATAGACAGAGGCTTTCATAGAGGTCAAAATTCTCAAGAGTGGGGCTAGTAAAATTTAAAATATCTATTAATGTTTCTCCTAATAATAGCCCTATATGAGAAAAATCTCACTTTGCTAAAATGAAAGAACTTTGCTCATCTTTGTGGTGAGGTAGTATTTGGAGAGAATATTCTGCAAGTGATACTGAATGACTGGCTAAGTGCACAGTATTGACCTCTTTCAGGGTTTTCATTAATTGGCATTGCTGTTTATATCCGGAGGACCAAAAAGTGCTGGGAAGGCCCTAGAGCATTAGGCTTTGCCGGACTGAGCAGCAGGGGCTGACCCAGTAGAGGCTGTGGCTGATGGGCACTGGGTGACAGGCCGTGGCTCAGTGGGACACCATTCACGCCGCCCTAGGAACTGGAACTTTGGTACAAAGATCCTGACTGATTTAAGTATTTTCCCTAGAAGTAGGCTTTACGAGGTACCACTTTGTTGTCGTTCTGGTGACTACAGCAAACACATGCTTAAAGTGAATTCTTAAATTGGGGGCTCGTTTGGGGATTTCATTTTCTTTACAGTCTGCAATGAATTATCATTTCAACTGTGTGCCTTTTTCATAAAAGCATTTTACATTGTACTGGAAAGATTACATTCTTTTGGCTTTGGAAAAATATTTCCTGTTCAGCTCAAGCCATTAAAGCCTGTTAGCATTTCACATCTGGAAGCCCCTGCCCAGAGTCCGCGTTCCATCCCCAGCGAGGGGAGCGTGGCCGCCCAGCTCAGCTCCAGAGCGCATGCGTAAAACACCCCAGACTTGTTTACTTCCTAGAGGCCCCTGGGCACTGCCCAAGTGTGCCCGTGCGGTTTGGGGGGTGGGGGAGTGGGAGGCTTCCTTCCTCCTGGGGTCTTGTGTGTGTGTGTGTGTGTGTGTACGCACGCGCGCGCCTCCTGGGCTGGGGAGGGAGTCTATCTTCCTGCCAAGTTGGGGAGGGGTCTTTCTTCCTCTGGAAGGGCAGGAGTTCGCTTTCCCAGCGGGCATTGGATGCTCCCCCTCCTGCCTTAAGCACTCACTTCCTTTGTTCCTTCCCACCCAGATTTCCAGAAAACAAACCCAAACATTTTGTGTGTGAGAGCAAAGCTGTTGGAGCTTTTCTAATGGGGGATTTCCCCCGCCCACCCCCACCCCCCCACTCCCACCCCCCCATACCGAGGAGTACTAATTAAACCCCAAAGGGCTGAAGAATTGAGCTCCCCTCCACTAGGCTGGTTTGCCTGCCCCAGGACACTTCTTAGATGGGGTCCGAGCCCAGCTTGGAGGTTATTTAAAGGGGAACACGGCATGGGTGCTGCGTTGTTCTGTGAGCGTTGAGATGTTTGTAGCTGCCGTCCACTTCCCAGAGGGTTAATCTGTACCTTTTAGGGCCCTGCTCCCCAGAGGCAGGCCTGATTCTTCTTGTGGGCTTCCTGCTGAGAAGATCCCCCCCCACCCCCCCTCCTGCCTCTGCCCAGGGCCAAGGGTGGCCTGGGGTTACTGTCCAAGGAGTTCTCTGAGGGGGGTCTCACAGCATGTGGAACCAGCAGGGGAAATGATTTCATGGTGTTCAAGGAGCAAAACACATTCATTGCATTTCTCCTGACCACATGCGACCAGAACTGATGCCAGGTAACCCTTGGCAGCCTGTAGGGGAGCCCTGCAGGAGCCTTCCCGGGCCCCTCTAGGAGCACCCAGGCTTCTGGGCCCTGTGGCCACGGTGAGGTGCCCCCTCTCCCAAAGCCCTGAAGACCACAGTGTCCTCCCTGACCCCTGTCCCAAGGGGCCGAGTTGGGGTTCTCAGTGGAGCTGGTGGATGCAACTGTTCTGGGAGTCCCGGGCCTCACCAGAGGGCACTCGAAGGCCTGGGGCTGACAAGCATCTCTTCTCAAGCATCTCTCCTCGAGAAGCACCAAAGCACCGGCAGCAGAGTATAAACTGGGGGCGGGGCATCTTGACTCCCTCCTGGGGGCAGTTAGGGAACCGTGGTTATTCAAGCTGCTTTCATAGGGCAGGCATGCAGCCTGAGCTGGGTGCTTCAGGGTTGAAGCAACCCTCTTTCCCATTTGATCTTAATTTATTTGAATATGCACAGTCTTTTTTTCATACCTGCGGGAAGCCACTTGACTTTCTAGAAGAATGAATAGCAGTTTGAACGAAGAGCCCAGCTGACCGCCCACCCAAATTTCCTAAGTGCTCAGTGTGGGAAAGGCCTGCGGAGGGGTCTTCCGTGGCAGGGTGGGAGAGGAGAGAGGCACGTACACAAGGTGCTCCGAGGAGCGCTCCGTGTTCCTGGGTTCGGAGAGGGTGGGGTGAGCCTGCCTGTCTTGCCCCACCCCCCTCCCCTCCCAGTTCCTGTGTGTGCGGCCTCGAGGGAGTGGGGAGGCGGCAAACGGATGCATTCCCATCCTAAGCTGAGCTGGGATTCGAACATAGGACTCAGTGGCGCCCCTGAGCCCTTGCCTTTTGGGGCTCCAGGAAGGCTTCTGGGAGTGCTGGTGTCTGAGATGGGCCTTGAGGATGTCAAGATATAGGGAGTGGGGAGCGGGGGCATAAGAGCCTCTTGGGTGCTGTGAGGGGGAGGGGGCGTGGGATTCTGGGGG